TCTTGATTGTGACATGTAATCATAAATAGCAAGTACCTTTTTTTCTATTCCATGTGTTGCATTTATATTTTCTTACTGTCACAGTCTGATAAGTAAAATTCTTGAGTTTAATCATACTCATCATTTGTTGGTTCATGTTCAGTGCTTTTAGAAGAGCTCTATTCTATCTTCAGATATTCAGATACTGAAGGCATCCTTCCAGGAGTCCAGTTGCTCTGTCATATTTAGACCTGAAATCCTCCTGACACTAATTACTGGTAGTTTTTGCAATAACTTTTTCCCCACTATAAATATTCAAGTTACCCAGAACTGTTGATGAAAAAGACTTCCCCCATGTCCTTGTGTTTCCACTTTTGTCATAAGGTCACATGCTCTATCTGTTAGAATCTGTTTTGGGTTAGATTTTCATGTTCTGTTGTTTGCTCGTCTACCTTTGTTCTACCTATATACCATTCTGTTTGCTGTTAATTTGTACTACGCCTCAACATTTGGCAGCACAAATAACTCAACCTTGTTATTCTTTACAAGTATTGTGGATTATCATAGTCTTTTGCATTTTAATATTCTATATTTTAGAAGCATCATAAGTTGTAAAAAGAAAGCTGGAGATTTTGTTTGGCAATGCACTGAGTTGTCACCTCTAAAGCATAGGTTCTTCTAACTTGTGAGTAAGCTTTAGCCCTTGATTTGTTATTTTTTAATGTTGCTATATCATGGAGTTTTTCCTATTTGTGAGATCTTTTCTAGAGCATTTAGTATTTGTAATGTTACTGTAAACTGTTGTTTACAGTGTCATTTTTCTAAGTGCTGATATTATAAGGAAAAATAAATGATTTGCATATGGTGACTATCAGGAAATGTTACGCTCACTTATTAATCTTAGTACTTTATCTTTGGATTATTTAGCATCTGTGTATAGATCTTGAAACAAAAATAAGTTTTATCTATCCTTTCTGCTGATTGCTGCCTCCCTTCATCTCTTGCTTTTCTTCCTGATCTCACATTTCTTGCTCCATAGCCTGACTAAGACTTTAAGTTCAGTGTTGACTAGAATCGAGGTCCAAAGGTACTTGTGGATTGTTCCTGATCTAAAGGTCAGTTTTGAACTTTTTACCAATGTATGTGATGTTTGCTTGTGTGTGAATACATTGTTTCAGAGAAAGATTATAAAAACATACTTCTATTCCCCATTTGCCATGAAACCTTTTTGCTCATGAGTCAATGTTTAATCTATCAAATTATATTTCTGCACCATTAGAGAAGAGCATATAATTTCTCTTCCTTATTTCATTAATGTGGTGAATTACAATTCATTTGAAATCTTAAACCAATCATTCATTCCTGAGATAATACAAACTTAATAGATTATTCTTTTTTACATAGCTGGATTCAGTTTGCTCACATGTAATTAAGATTTCTGAATCTATGTTCATCACTGACATTAGTTTGTAATTTTATGGTAATAGTTATAGTTTCTAGCAAGTATTTTGTTATTTGTTTCACTAAATATTTTCTCCATGAGTTTTCTTACTTAAGTACTTGTATGATTTAAATGTTCACAAACCCTTAAACAATGAACCCAAGTTCAGTCGATTACCAAGTCCATCAACTGCATCTTTCCTTAAATAATCCGTCACTCAACTTTCAGTTGCTTTCCAGTCAATTATAAGCTAAGTCTGAATGCTATTGTCTATTTTTTTAGATTGTTCTAATAACGCTTATAATGTATCTCTGTGACACAGGTTTGGATCCTTCTTAGCTGTTTTTCCATATTTCTTCTTAAAGATTTACTTAGTTTTTGAAGCTGGAGGACAGTTTTATTAGATTTTAAGAAAAAACTCTAACACAGGCAACCTATAAATCTTGGTAGCTGCTCACAGGAAGGAGGTCAGCCACATGGTGACAAGCAACCACATGGATGGGAAGGGAGGAAGGGAGCTTTAGAGAAAGAGTGAATGAAACAAAAAGTTTTAGGAATGCATACTATAAAAGCCATAGAAAGATGAAATGGAAAAGCTCACAGATTTGCAAAGCAGTATGGCCATGGATTAGTAAGCAACTGTACTAGGAAGTGTGAATTCCTGGAAGGAAAGTATGTTGTCTCAGGATGACATCTAGATAGGCTGACTAGATTCACCAGATGGGCTAGTACTTGGGAATGGCTGGGGGTGCCGACAACATAGCAAACAGCAGGGAAGACAGAGTAAAAGGGCTCTAGTTGGGGGTGTGTGTGGGAGGGTGCCATCTGGGAAGTGGGTATATAGATGAATAAGATTGTTTGGGATGTAATGCATGATATAAACACAAAAAAATCAACAAATGAAAAAAATGAGTTATATTTGAGGAGGAAGCATAAAAATTTACGTCATGTTAATTAGTAGATGTGATAAACATTACCATTGAAATCTACCCGATGACTTTATGTCCGTACACAGGTGCCAAGGATCCGAGTGCAACAGACCATGACTAGTAATGATCAGATAAATACAGATTAGAGATTCATGTGCCAACATCTAAGTGTTATTAGCAAAAACAATGAGTCTTTCTGTAAGAAACAGTATATTTTAAAATGAAATGGATATCTTTTTTAAAGGTTAAAAACTCATTCAATTTTGTGTCTTATAGGGCTTATACTGAGTTCAATATTGTATAACTGGATAAATTCAACTGTGAACCTAAAATTTTTATAGCCACTTTTGAAAGAGATCTATTTTTGCTCTGGAAATTTTTATTGAGTATGTTAAAGCTGTAATGAAATGCTTCTTCTAAAAAATAAAAAAATAAAGGATGATTATTCCTCATCTCTTTTTTCTTTTCAATGATTCATTCTTTTGATTTTTGTTATCGATATGTGTGCATGACATGGTGTGTGTGTGCCCCCAGAGGCCAGAGAGAGTTGCTGGATCCCCTAGAGCTATAGTTATAGGCAGTTGTTAGTTGCTTGACATAGATGCTGGGAACTGAACTTGGATCCTCTTGAACAACAGCAAGTGCTCTTCACTGTTGGGCTGTCTTTCCAGCTCCTCCTCCTATCTGTTTAGCATGGTTTAAGGTGGATCTGCATTCCTAGGGGACAGTCCTGTCTTCCTGAGGCATGGTCCCTTAGCCAGGTGATTGACCTGCCTAACTGGGTTCATTCTTAAGGGAGGAGACAGTGACATGTATCCTCTCAGAGCTAAATTCCATTCTTTATTCTAACATTGCCCTCTCTGAAGAGGTAACCTTAAATTTTTTAGGAAATGGACTGAAATTGGGTAAAGATGAACTTGTAAAATCACAAACTCCATTATGCTACATATTTTCTTAAAAAAATCTAGTAGCTCCTTATTGGATCACTTTAAGAACCTCAAATTGAGCATGTTATCTTTTATGTCCAAGCCTTTGCCCACATTTCTTTCATGAACTGTAAATGCTCAGATAGTATACAAAGATACATACATAGCAGAATCAAAGAACTGAAGAAGGCTCAAAGGTCAGCAGAAGGACATAAACAGGATATGGTGTATGGAGAGGAACATGAATCATCATAGAAGCTGGTTTTTCAAAATCTTCCAGTTGTATCATTTATTTTATGTTTAGATTGGTATGTGTTGTAGGATCTGATGATGAGTTCTTGAAGTCAGCCAGCCATGATTGACTTGTTTGCTTATGTACCAATGCAAAGTGAAACTTTGTCTAAAGTAATCAAGGTGGTATAGCATTTTTGAATGTGTTAGTGAGAATTTACTTGCCTAGAGTTATACTTAATTATAAATAAAATATTTTGTCTACATTGTTCAGTAAAAAGTCATGAACACTGACAAATGGATAGACATGTGGGGAGACAGACTTAGACCCAGATTAGGAATGATGATCTGAAGGCTAAACCTTCCTCAGCTAGAAAGAACCACCTTTTGAGGCTTTAAGTTTCCTCTTATTTAATGTACTCAGGCAGTAGCTGGTCAGTTATCTAAAATGAACTTATGTACTGGGGCAGTGATTGTAGGGCACAAACTGTATGGCTGCAACACAGTAACAGCTGTGAAGGCCCCTGGGTAAATCTAGTCTGCAATAGGCTTGGGACATCCTGAATAAGGGGGAGATGGTTTTCTTACATGAGAATTATATAAGGTGAAATCATACACACACTCACATGTACATACACACATACATATACATACACACATACATATACATACATATCTTCATATTCCACCCATACATACACATACACATATCCATTCACATGCCACACAGACACAGACACATACATTCAAACACACACATACAAACACAATCATGCCCATATGTCTAAGGACCATTGTATAGCCTCTAAATTAGTAGTGGTACAAATGTACCCCTCAGGTCTGATCGTGTAAGATTATTATTCCTAGGTGATTTTGTTATTTTAGCTGGGTTTGCTAACCACTGAATTGTGTCACCCTTTTAAGGAAAAGCTGTGTACATGATATGTGCATAATACAGCAAAGTCTTGCCTTATGTAATTTTGCTTTTCTTGTGAACAAAATAGGTAACATGAATCGACAAGAATATATCCAGGGCAGAGAAAGACTTTAAAGTCAAAGCAAACAGAATTCCAAATCTAGTCCTATTACTAATTATTACACTTGTAAAAATATGCTTTACTTCCTTTTAATCTTAAATTAGAGTGATAATAATAATCACTTTATTCATTTTGAAATTTAAATAAAATTGCTTATGAAAAACGTGATACAGTGTTTGGTCATTCTGTGATCTCTTCTAAAATGATTGTTTGATGGGTCACGTAAACTATTTCAGGGTGCTATAGATCCCTGGTATTGACACTGTGCATTGGTTTAGCTATATAATTGGTATTTTAGGTGCCATAAGATGAAGAATAAAGCTTTAACTGTCATTGTGCTTTACTTGGTTATAATGCATGCTTCATTTTTTTATAATTTGAAATTTTCAAGTAAGACTTTTTATTCACTGTGTTATACAAAGCACAAGGAGATAACATGTGCACTTTTTTTTTACAGGTATAAGGGAGCACTGTATATTTGTATTAAAATGGAGAATTGCGAAGGAAGAAAAAGATAGCAGTTGGAGTTAATGTCCCTGGAAGAAGAGTGCAGTTATGGGAAGTCAGCATTATAAAACGATATGCTGGTTTCAAAGGTCCTGAGAAACATTTGCAAACTTTCTTCTCATTCAACCCATGGATTTGTTAGATGTTCCTTGGAGTGGATGAAGTTTGGAGCTGGCGTGTGATGGGACATGTGGCATGTCAGTGTTTTCCTAGTTGTTGCATCTTGGATTAGTTTGCTGCTGTTTTGAAGAGATTACATTTTGAAGGGCAAGGATCTAATGTGATGGATTTAGCTTCAGAAATGAACAGACATGGGAAGAATCCGGTGAGTCACAAGCTGGAAGACCAGAAGAAGGTAAGAACAGTACATTTTTTTTCTTTCATTTATTGTTATGCCTAAAAAATGATCTAATTAAAGTATGGCTTGGTACATGTTGCTGTGGATCTTGATTGTATTATCAGTTGGTGATTTGATTTCTGGAGTCTTCTTGAATATATATATATATATACTCAAGAATTATACTATGTGGCCAATGCTACTGACTAGTGACCTGTTGATCTCATGTGACCAGCTTTTCAGACCCAAAGTAGGCATCTCTGGTATACCAGGGCAAACTGAAGTTCTGCTGAAGAGTATACTTGTCTTCTTACCATTTAGAAGGCATAGGTGCATTTGAAATTCTCTCGTTTCTTATCCTTGGGGCCTTTCAACCTAGGCTTTCTCACTTTTACAGCTGACCTGGAAGGTGAGGCAACTGTTAGCTTGGGTTTGACTATGTGTGATGTCAAAACAACTAATGGAAAATATAATAAAATGAAGTGTTGCTGACATTTCTTTTTAAGAAGTCAGTTTTGAGAACATCAGAGTGTGGAGCTGGGGATGAATACCCGAGGGTCATTCTTAAATCTTGTTTTTCTACCTTTTTAGAAACTCTTAACTTGTTAAACAACCAGACTGTGGTGAGACCATCTAAAAGCATTTATCAGAAGGATCAGGGATGATGCCCAGGAGAGAAAGCCTGTGTCTTAATGAAATACATTATCTAGTGGGATGCTCTCATTGCCTCTGTTTAGTACAGGGAAGGTGTGTGGGGACCCAATAGCTAAGGAACTTGAGCCAGAATAATGAGACAAATGAAAGGAAGCTTCTAAGTATCTGTGGATCAAAGGAACACAATTAATGCTTATTTTTATACCTACCTTAGAAATCTTGTTTACCATTCTCTTGGCATGTCCACAAAGACCACCAGCTCTTGGAGTTTCAGCATTAAAAAGTTTAAAAGAATCTATGTTGAGTCACTTGCTGATTAATTTCCTTGACTGTTTAGTGCAATGCTATAAGATAGAGCCACAGTGATCCCTTTGCCAGTAAAAAGGCAGAAGTGGATAGAATTTATGCCTACTGTGGTTCATTCTTTGGGTTTTCCTCTAGGAAAGTAAATCTCAGAAAGCACTAAATATAGTAAAGTCTAGGGTACCCAGGAGCCAATTTTACTTCAATGTACATATACATTTTAAATTTCTGCATTTATGAGTATGTTACTGAAAACCTTGTTTATGTTATAGCAAGTTTATATTTAAATGTAGCATTTTTTCCTGTTTTCAGTAGGCTGCTAACTCAAATGAGATAGGTAGGTAAGTTTTAGTATAACAACATGCCTTACGGTTTCTTGTTTGTTTGATTTCCTTCATTCTTTTATTTCTTAACTTCTTTTCTTTATTTTGGTAGTGCTGAGGACTGAAACCAGGACAACTTGCATGTTAGGCAAGTGCTCTACCACTGAGCTATGTCTCCAGCCCCCTTCAGTTTCTTAACTAGGAAAGAGCCATTTAAGCATTTTCTTCTTCTTAAAATTTTAAAATATCCTTAACTCCAGTGGAAGTTTGCCTATTATGTTGTGTAGGTGAAGAGGAGGTAGGGGAATACGTACTTAATATTGAAGAGGCCTAATTTGGGTCAGACACCTGCTTTCCTGACAATAAAGAAAAGTAGCTATGAGATGCTGTGTTTTTGTTTCCTAATAAGACACATTTTCTGCTAGCATGAAAGGGATTGAAAGCTGAAGAATGAAATGAATTCTTAACGAATTCTCCACATTGCTTGTGTAGAACTTTAAACAATAGTCTGTAACCATGTTTAGATACCCAGGCCAATTCACAAAAGACTTTTCAGTTCATAAAATATGTGCTGATACTAATAGAGTTTAGAAAAACCATGGTTAATCATAATTCTGTGGGAAAATAAGAAGTATCAGCTTGGTGTTATTGGACTCAGGATTCCTCTTTCACTATTGATTCTTTGGCTGCCCCATTGTTTGGGTATTCCAGGAGTTCCATTTGAGTGTAAGATCTACAAATAAGTCAGAAGCTCACTTAGTTAGGTAGATAAATAGATAATGGATGTATTGGGGACAGGTAAGTAGGTAGATTAGACAAATTGATGCAGGAGGATTAAAATTCAGACTTGTTAAGTATCAGCTGGGACATCTGGCCTCAGTGACACTTGGCAAGTTTGCATTATGGTATAAAATGAAATGTATTATAGTAAATATTTGTAGACAAAGAACTGACCCCAGCCTTGCCATCACATAATTTCTAACTGAGATTATAGAGTTATTCTTGTAATTACTTCAAATGTATGGTCTTTCATGATGAATGAATTTAATAGGTCCAGTATTCCACATTGGTAAAATAAAATGCATGTATCATAACTGTTGTCCTCTTGTAGAAGTGACAGTATTACTGGTGTTACTGAAAATGCAACTTATCTTCCTAGGTGTTAGTATATATTAGATATTCAAATAAAAATACTTTTTTGATACTGAGTTTGTGAGTTTATAAGTGGTCTTTTAAATGATTCAGTGAATGAAAGAAAAAAGATTGTTTATAGAGTACTTACTATAATCCCAGGAACATTCTGGTTCCCTGCAGTTTATTAATACATTATCTTCCTACAAAGATAAAGATCTTCTTTTACTTAGGAGTTTTGACCCTATAAGAATAACGATCAGTTCTGAAGAACATATAAGCCATTACTCAGAAGTGAGGTTTTTAAACATGTATGACTTTGGGGGTTTCTTTCAAATAGTACTAAGTAAGTTTGAACAGAAGGAAACATGCACAAAATTTAGAAGATATCATATGCAGGATCCTATCTAAAGTGTCCTTCATTGTGGAAAACCAGAAAGTGGCTTCTTTAGGATTTAAGAACATGTCTACAGAAATGAGATGAAAACACATTTCAGAATGATGTATCAACCGGAATCAGTGTTAGGTTAGGGGAATACAATCACCTTTTCAGTTCTTATGGTTTTCATCATTAGAAAGTTCAGCTCCTATTGGTGCAGATTCCTACTATTGATATTTGACTTCTAGAATGCCCTGGATGTGAAAATTATCAAGGCAATTCAAACCTCCTAAATGCCCTTAATGAGGTGCTGTGTCTTAAAAAAGTTTACCTTTTCAACCTTATTTGCATGTTGATGCCAGGGACATTGGTATATTGCTTTCCATTAATTTTTATTGCTTCATGGGATTATTTCTGCAAAACCCCATGGGACAGTGAAAACCCAATAGGCACAAATGTCACTGGCATATAATTAGCTGTGACCTTGAACTGAAAAACAGAGCTTAGTAGATTTCACTGTCACTCTAATTGCAGTAGTTTGCAATTCAGACAACCTTAGGATACTAGTTTATGGCTCCATGAATATTAATGCATTAAACAAAACCATTTATCACAGTCAACCATTTACTAGATGGTATTAAAAAGGTAGCAGGATACACATTTCAAACTTATAGCAGTGGATTGCAATGTGCTACATGACCTGTTGCAGTTATTTTTTACTGTATTCTCTAAACCAGAAATGGATGAAAAATATAGATAAAGAGATTTACATTCATGGAAATGTTTAGGATTAATACCATATCAGTTTTTACTTTCCCAACTACAGCAATTTACATATGCCATTGGCCAGCAGTATTTTTCCTTTACTGCTGAAAAAAAGCTCAAGATAAACTCTAATGCATAATGTCTTTGTAAAATACAGTAATTGCTTCAAAAGCAGTACACTCAGTATTCTGAGAATGTTTGAGATGTGAATAATCACATAAAGTGAGATATTGTTATATTAATTACTGGAAAGGAAAGTACTAAGTTGGAAGAAAAAAAAAGACTGTTATTTTAAGGGGTGTTTAAGGGGTGACCTGGTTGTATTTTGGTCTTAAAATCTATTTTAAGCAGGTGATTAGAGGAAATAGCATTCGCAAGTGGTACTGAGTGTTTCATCAATGTCTGTTTACATGGAAACATTTTGTATTTTCTCTTTCAGTTAACATCAAACAGATGTATAGTCCAGGCCACATACCTGCTCATGCCTGCTAAGCTGCTCTAGCACTTATACTGAATTGCCACCCACTTAAGATGGTCAATGCTTTGGTGAAAAATATGTAATCAGATTGAAGTTAGCCTAATTTCCAATTCAGTATTTTTATTTTTGATGTGCTGCCTTGCAAAAATTAGCACATTTTAATTCCTTTTTATTTTAAAATTTCTTCCTCTTATCTTGATACTAACAGGGGCACTCTTCTGGCTGTTACTATTTTATAAACTAATAACAAGACTGAGTTTAAATTATTTTGTTCTAAAGTTCTGAAAATATGTGCACATACCATTAATACATAAGTTATGAAATAAGGGGCTAGAGAGATGGCTCAGCAGTTAAGAGTACTTGCTGTCTTGTAGAGGACCCAGGTTCAGTTCCCAGAATTCAATGATGGACCATTATCATCTGTAATTCCTGTTTCATGGGATCTGATGCCCTCTTCTGGCCCCTGTAGGCACAGCATGCACAGAGTAAACAGATATATACAAATAAAACACTTCATACACATGAAATAAAAAATTAAATGTTAAGTGCAGAGAATAAGACGGTGCTTTCATATACTCTCAGACTTCTGTGCTATGCCATTTGATTTATAGATCTGTATTAGCATATGTACTTATAAACTTTTTAAAACATATGCTGTAGTGTGGTCTGTTTCAAATGACCCATCACATCATTGTATATTTTTTCTTTTAGATTTTTGAAAGAGGGACTAGGCATTTTCTCAGTTAAACCACTACTACATATTGATCTGAATATTTTACAAATATTTAGAAACAGTAGTTCCACCATACCTGTCTATCTTTCTTGAGCCTACGGTGAATTAACCAGGTAATGCAATTCCAGAAAGCTTGACTAAGAGCCATGTGATTAAAGACTCGGGAGTGCATGCAATTGTACCTTGGAATATCTGAGTGTTAAGATCAAGAAAACAGACCTCAGTTCATCTGCATGGACAAATGTTTGTGAA